CAGATAAGACCATTTCCCCACACCCAAACAAACTACACTCTTCTTATACTGCCGACACTTTACTCAGTTATTTAGTCACCTTTCAGTCATTTTAATTTCAAAACTAATTTGTGTATGTTGTGTTTTTATTATCTCACTCTTATTGCCTGTTTATGCCAGGTCTATCTTCAACAATATGCAGCTCTGTTGTATGTTATTTGCCCCCATGGGAATAAACAAAGTCCTTCTGATTCTGTCCTTTATTAAAGCCACAAAACACGTGACAACAATTTTCATGATGGTATTTTGAACTGATCACTTTTAGCAGACAGAAAACAAAAGCATTTCACCGTTTGTATTTGCCTTGTTACACAAACGTTTTTCATACCCAAAGGCTGAAGGTTCAGAGACAACCATGCCAAATGACGCCTTGATAATGTTTGTAACTACCACATGCCTTTGACTTGCTAGTGAGACTAGTTAATCAAATGCCTTTTCATTGTCATAGTTGGAATCAGAAGATTAACAGGATAGAAAACATTTAAAACCAAAGCTCTCAAAGGGAGGTGTGTGTGGCTCTTAAAAGAGCCGTTTAGTTGTTTGAGTTGGTGTGAATGAGTTTAACCGCCGAAGCCGTACAGAGTGCGGCCCTGTCTCTTCAGAGCGTACACCACGTCCATGGCGGTCACGGTCTTCCTCTTGGCGTGCTCGGTGTAAGTGACGGCGTCACGGATCACGTTCTCCAGGAACACCTTGAGCACACCGCGGGTCTCCTCGTAGATCAGACCCGAGATACGCTTCACTCCGCCACGGCGAGCAAGACGGCGGATGGCGGGTTTGGTGATTCCCTGGATGTTGTCACGGAGAACTTTACGGTGACGCTTGGCGCCTCCTTTTCCGAGCCCTTTGCCTCCCTTGCCCCTTCCACTCATGGTTACGGTTTCTTCTTTGAACGAAGAACGTCGAATGAAAGTCACAGGAGCGGACTCCGTCTTTATGAGTGATCTGCGGACGTAATAGAGAACCCCTGACCCCTGGTGCAAGCAAACTCGCAAGTCAGCCTATGCTGACCGAGTGGAGTTACATTAGCTTTTATGCTAGTCGTACATCAGCGTGAGCACATACAGCATGTAAACATATTGTGGCTTTAAAATCGGAGTCAAGTTATCAATTTAACATGTACAATTTGGCAGTGTAAAACTGAACACACCGTTGTTGTTTACTATGATGTTGCACTACTTAAATCTAGGAAAACGCTGCTCTTTGAGGTTGTGAGTGGCTCTTAAAAGAGCCTTTAGATTATTAAAGGTGGTCGTGGGATTTTATTTGGCCTTCTCAGTCTTCTTGGGCAACAGCACGGCCTGGATGTTGGGCAGCACGCCGCCCTGAGCGATCGTCACTCCGCCCAGAAGCTTATTCAGCTCCTCGTCATTGCGGACGGCCAGCTGCAGGTGGCGGGGGATGATCCTGGTCTTCTTGTTGTCACGGGCGGCGTTCCCAGCCAGCTCCAGGATCTCAGCAGTAAGATACTCTAGCACAGCTGCGAGATACACCGGGGCGCCGGCACCAACACGCTCAGCATAGTTACCCTTCCTCAACAGCCTGTGGACACGACCGACGGGAAACTGCAGTCCAGCGCGGCTGGAACGAGTCTTCGGCTTCGCCTTCGCTTTTCCGGTTTTTCCACGTCCCGACATCTTGTTTGTTTTCTCTTTTATTGACAGGAGAAAAGTATAACTCACACGCCTTCAATACCAGCTTTATATACTACTTCAGCTGTTCGCTCATTGGTTATCGAGATCGTGAGAAACAGCGTCCAATCAGATTAGGGATGACGTCAAACCTCACATTTAACTTCCGTTTTATACTGTACAAACTGATATGCTTATAAACGATTTTAGTAATTCATCCTGGAAATACTGAAATATATAACAGTAACTCCAAAATACATATTAAGTTGTTTAATTCAACTCTATACAAGGAAATATAAGAAAATATTACCCTAAATGTGTTAATATATAGAAATATTATATATTTCTATATATATATATATTCTTTACTTGTGTATGAAACGGGACTCTTCACCTTACTTTGCAGTTGGAAAACTGGAATTTCCCCAATGAGGGACCAGAAAGCATATTTCTTTTCTCTTCTGTTATATTCTAGCTCGAAAACAGCTCTGAACAGTCACATTTAGTCCAGTGTATTTTTAAAATTCCTAACACTGATTCTCATCATTTAGATCACACACATTATTTATCACCATGACCTAAAATAGCATCAGGGAGTCAGTAATAACATCAAACCAACAAAGGTTTTAAATTTGTACCTCAGTACTTAATCAGGCATTCAATCTTATCTCACTTTAACAGGTGTTTGAGCCTGTGTGAGAATATTTATCTATATTTATCTATGTGTATCTAGCAGTCTATCAATCTATAGATAGACAAACACTGTGTTCTCTCTTATATTGGTAGTCTTAAAAACAACAATAAACTGTGCAGGTTACCAGGTTTCCATGTAAAGTCCAAATAAATGATGTTTAAATAAAACATTTCCAACTTGTGCTAACTAAATACAATACAATAAGGATAATGGGAGGTTTAAATTTGTTCTTATGCTCTAATACACAGGTCTCGAACTCCAGGCCTCGAAGGCCAATGTCGTGGTTTAGGATGTGTCCTTGATCCAACACAGCTGATTGAAATGGCTAAATG